TAATGTTGTTGATGTTGACGTGGACTACATGATGCACATTTGGCTCCAGGACGGCCTTTCTGAACAACGTCACAGTAGAGAGGAGTGCACAAACGTGGTAAACTAAGTGGCCTAAATGAGGTGTTTTCTTTAGCTAAATCACTTTTTTTATTTCAATGTTTGACGAAAGCGTACTGACAGGAACATAATGGATCATTAGGTCAAAAAGAGCAGAACAAACCACAAGCAAGACCACAAGCAAGTTTGCTGCCGTCTGAGATCACTTTCATGCAGATTAATCACTGTGATGAAGCAATGATGAAAGTCAAAGCTGTTCTTCATGTGAAGTCTGTGCTCAGTAGTTTGAAACACAGTAACCGTGCAGAAACACAACAGTCACATCATTTACAGTATGAGTTACAGCATGAGATTTCAGAGCAGTGCTGACGTGAAGTAATGTCATAAAGATGGTCACATACAGAGCGATAGAAAAGGTAGTCACTGCGAGGTACATCAGGATTAGTCCAGTGTTTGTTATTCATGAAGTGCTGACGGTGGGTAGGCGTCCATCGTTCCCTTACTCTTTACCAATAGCTCTGAGTGCAATCATAAAAGTATCAATCATAGAAAAAAGAGGAGACGCTCACATCTGCAAAACATCAAGACAATTTTCAGATGGTGAGGATATGGCTCTCTGAGGAGCAGAAAATGAAATGGTGGGTTTTAAATCATCACAAAAGCATCGTGTTCCCTTTCATTTTTTATTTTATATTTGAAACAATAATTGACATTGGCATCCTGGAGTCACATGGTCCATTTTGCAATATTAATGTTAGAAATACTAGCATATTATTTGTAACATGTAATTTCATGTTTAGACTTTTTATTTTTTTAAAGGTTTAATTCTTCTTTTTTTCATGATAACACACACACACACACACTTTCATTTAAGCTTCAGTGCCACAGGGTGTCTCTCCTCAAGTCCCTGTGAGCACAATAGACTTGTGTTCAACTAAACAGGTCCAGGTTTCTGGGTGATTAGAGTGAGAAAAACCCTAAAGTTCATTATATTGCAACAAACAGGGGCTCCTGGTGTTATGTGACATTTCATTCCTCAATATTCGCCATTAGTCGGAACTCACATTCTGTACATTAGAACTGATGTCACTTACCTACGCTAACACAGCGGTATCATCGTAATATAGGGCGTAACTGCTAACCACTTAGTCAGTAAACATATTTTTGAAAGGTTTCGCACCAGAACATTTTCAGGAGACATTGAAATTGCAACAGCAGCCGGCGTAGTGTAATTAGCGACAGCACTGAGATGATTTACAGTCTAGTATTCTAGTATTTGTTTGGGTGAGTCTGAAAGAGCTCTAAATGCATCTCAGTGGTAACTACCAGCCAGATGACCCCGCTCATTACACTGTGGCTAATTGAGCTGATTGTTAGGTTTGTTCTCTTCACACTGTTTACCTTCTGGACCAGGGTACTCACCATTACAGCAGCCCAGTGTGCAGTGCACAGACAGAAACATAAACAGCACTAATGTCAGATGAAAACCTGTTTCCTCAACAGTCTTTTGAGGAAACGATGAAAAACCAAATACATGTTTATTAAATTTTGGTTTGAAACAGCGGTAGGTACAGTAGGTGGAGAGTTGTTGAAAGCGGGAGCTTGTTTACAGGTTCCTGCAAACACAGACTGACGTTTAGACTGAAAGGAAATACTCAGTTGATTGAAGTTTGTTGTAATGTTTAAAGAATGTTGGGTAACGTAGGTGTGTCGGAGAAATAAAAACCATATGGTTTTTCAGCTGGCTGGTGCAGGGCACTTCATTCAGGGCTGTAAAAATGAATAAAAAAGCAAAAATCAAATGGATATGAATGTACTGTCTGCCTGTGTGTGAATAACAGATGACTACAACTACAGTAGTACTACAGTAGTACTACAGAGTTCTGACGGTGGTCACAGAATCTGTCACTGACCTTGGTTTCAGCATGGCCAACTTGAAGGTCAAAGAAAATTTTCTCAGTGAAAACACATGTTCAAAATAGATTTAAACAAAGACCTTATACTTATATTTGAATGAATGAATTGATATTTGAATTATTCTTTCATGTAGCAACTTGTCCCAGGCTTCACGGAACGTCCTGGCAATCGCTTCAAGTAACTGTGGAAATACTTCAAAGTGAGAAACGACTGACTTTAGTTTTCATCTCACATTTTACCGTAGCAGTTAAACAACACATGTGATTTGATGTGTATTTTCTTCAACACATTCCCTGTCTGAGACAATCCACTCCCTTTATCTGTACATGGCAGCTGCGTTGGGTTAGGATGAGCAACTTCAGGTCATGTGTGTTGCCCAGGGACACATGGGCACACAGCTAGGACGGAGCACATGACCCACCCATCCTCCCCGTCCCTTACTGGTCAATATAAGTTAAACTCTGCAGCAGTAAGCCACAAAATAAAAGCTGCTAAACAAATGATATTTACAATAATAAAATATATATATACATATATATTTGTAATAACTGCATCAACGACCTAAAATAGTTGTCAACATTATTGAGTTAACTCAATAACCCTACCACTCCCACCTCCTAAATGCGATCAGACTGTCGTTCCGTGCCTCCTCACTCTCACGCTGTGAGTTGAAACTGACGTGTAGTAAACGTGTTGGGCTGCTTGTCATTTCTTTGACTTTCAGCACTGGCCAGGAACATTATCAGAACTAGCAGGGGGTAAAACACTGAGTGGGAGCAAAAGGGGCCAAGCCAAAAAAAAAAAATGCGGGGTTTGAATATTGTCAACATGTTGGTAATAAGCTGCAGGAGAACGATGAGGTGTGAGTGTTTGAGTTCATCTTTCATTTTATATGTGTGTGTGTGTGCGTAGCAGGGTGTGATGTCAGGGAACATTACAGTTTATTGCTGGGTTGAGTGACGTGAAAGATTATTGGCAAGTGGAAGAAATGTAAAAGAATTCAGCTTTCATCAGTGTGGGGCTGGGCGCCTCATGTTTGATGTCGGCCTGGAGGAGTTGTGTTCACAGTCCAGGAAAAGGAGCGGGAGGCAGGGAGCAGTCAGGAGGTGGAGTGCCAACAGCACGGGTCATCTCACAGTAACATGGAGATCCTGTACATTACAAACCTTTCATTTCAATGTGTTGCTGCAGATCCTGCACAGTACTGTGTCACTACTTCTACTTCAAATTAGTATTTGCCCATGTGTAGTACTATAACATGTTAGCCATGTTAGATCACTTGAAGATATGTTTCCATAAAGATAATGCTTAAACTATCCCATATGGTAAAACTGGAATAGACAGGCTTGGTGCTTTCACAGGTTCATGTGAAACCTGTAAAGGTTTCACATGAAGTAATTAGAAAAAAATAAATCTGGAGTGTCATGGATATCGTTTAAAAAAATAATAAAACAAAAAAGCCAATTGGCACAGAGTAGCAGCCTAGTTAAGGAGCTGTTAGTGTAGAGTTGTCCCAGGGCTCATGTGGCGTCATTTATACTGCCTTATGTTCTATATTGTTGTTATGAATTACGTTTCTTCAAAGTGACATCATACTGCTAATAATGACATGGATTATTTTGCGTGAACACTCTTATCTGATTGGCTGTTGGCGTTCATGCTTAAAAAAAAAAACTACATTAGCAGGAACTGCAGTCAATGGTTGCGTCAGGATTGACATCATTCACTGTGAATCCAAAACTGAACCAAATGTACTTATCCTCAAAATGACTGCTATTTCTGTTAGCACCCAAGATAAGGACACATGCAGCTGGCCTACATACACATCTTACTCAGACTGATCCTTCACAGAAACAATGTGTGGCCCAGATGTCAACCAGATAATGGCGGTGGAAAATTGTTTAGCTGAATCACTGGAATTCACTTTCACTGAGCTGCAGCAATAGATCATCAGTGTGTAATAATTACTGACATCTTCCAGTGAGACAAACAAACACATTCACACAACAGAAGACTCCGCTGCCTGCCCCTCCCTTCTCCCAGCTCATGAGCAACTACGGTGGATTTTGGATATCAGAAATGGTGTGAACATTCCATGACAACCCTTTTCCTCATCTCTTAACCCTCACTTTGTTATATTTCGTCCTTGTTGTTTGTGTATAAACTTTATTTAAATCAGGGGTCTTGAACTGAAACGAGCTGTGGGCCATATTACATTGGAGGAGCACATCAGTGTTAGAACTTTTTGTTAAATATGTATATATGTAAAATAATGTATTTTCTTCTCTTAAATGACCAACCTTAGCATTTTAGCAATTGGGAAATAATGAGGGTTATTTGAAAAAAAAAAAAACCTACAAGGCGAAATGATTTTATTGATATGATATTAAAATCTAAGCAGGGGCCAGATGTGAGGAATTCATGGGCCAGAAGTGCCCCCCAGGCCAGGGGTTTGACACCACTGGTTTAAATAACCTTTTCAATAATTAAAACAGTAAGAGTATTTAAACAACAACAACTTCTTCTTCATCATGTGTACCTCCTGTAAATCTGCTGTAAAAACAGTCGGTAACTGACTGCAGGCCTCACTGTGCAGGCAGCCATTCTTCATATAAACATCTTATTCAAAATGTCAGACAACAATGACTGCATCAGCGGTGCATCATCATTGTGCAACATTTGACTTTCCACTTAGTTGCACATGCTGGGGTAATGAGCCTGTCTACACTGGTGGGTGTCCAGGTTTCCATTTGTCTCCCTGTAAACTGACTTGACAGAGTCCATGACTCCTAAACTCTTACTTTCCCCTGATGAGAGACAAATGGGTTTATTGTGAAACATTTAATGGAAACCAAGACAGCACAGGTTCAACACCCACTGCAGATGTGTGGATGGGCAGCAGGACCACTACCATCGCACTGAAACATCAGCCCAGCCACGACATAAAAGACACACCGAGTTTTTACTACTTAAAGAGAAAAATGTGTGAATATGTTGTTCTTCTCCCTGTCTCTGTCCACTGCCAGGTCACTTCCTAGGGAATCACAGTGTGCTGGACATTCTGAGGCAAGAAGGCTATGAGATCATGCACATGAGCGCTGATCACCAGGAAACAGAGTAAGTAACAGGACACAGTAACAAATGTACAGGCATCTTTTATATATGATATGATGCTAGTTCTACCATGGCTGTCCATATGGATGTGAACTAAACGAATAATTATTTTAAAACTCTAGAACTTTATTCCTCCGTTGTGGAGTCCCTTTTTCATTCACATCAATATCGAATCTAACTGTGAGATTCGTGACAATACCAGCCCTAATTACTTAAAGACAAAAACAGATTTTTTTATGTTCCTACTGATGAACTCCTGCCATCTCGGTCTTGTATTCCAGATCAGTGTATTCTGCTTTTATTTACAGTGTCCTCACTGTAACAAATTGGGATTTTTATTATGTTTGGCAAATGTTCCCAGTGTGTTTCCTCTGTGTGCTCCACTTGATGTCATGTTAATGCAGGTTAAGCTCACGTGTTACTTTAAAACTAAACCATGTGTCTCCTCGTCGGACGAGATAATGGCTGCAAATAGACGAGGGAAATGTGATTACGGCGCACACTACCATCGGCCAGGGTTTGTTGACGTTATGGTAATACGTACTGTCTGAGTCGAGGGTTTCTCCAAATTCTGTT